GAAGAAGAAGAGCAAGAGCAAGAGCAGGAGCCAACGCCAGAGCGAAAGCAAGAGAAACGGCAAGAGCACGAGCGACAACCACCCGACCCAGAGAGTCGTGCCACGAAGAACCCATCCAAACGCGCAGCCGGGCTCCCGGCTACAACTCCTGGGACAAAGCGTGGCACCGAGACAAAGACTGTAGTCACTGTAGTTGACTTTGAATCGTTGGGCCGTCGGGCAGCGACACAATATCGCAACGAAGACGCAGACTGGCACCGTGGAGATGCGGCGCCGGGAAAGCATAGCCACGAAGAAGTGGACAGCAACGCACAGGGACACCGCACTGCTGTTGTTTGCGGGCTTTTAGCCACCACAGATATGCGTCGTGTTTCCGCAGCCAGGGTCAAAAAGAAACCCAACCCCTTGCAGCCGAAATTTAAGAAGCATCACAAGCTCCAAAGACTTGATGCCCTCTTGCAGCATGAGACAAGGGTTCCAGCCAAAGCGCCTCATATACAGGCCTTAAGAAGTAGAAGAGTGCCTTGGCAAAGTCGGGGGTGGGGCATGTTGTAATATGTGTCTTTCAGGCCCGACACTACAATCCCAGACTACTAGACCCTAAGTCCCGAGAGCTTCATGTCATAAACACCGAAAGCCTGTCTCACAAACCGCAGGGCAGGGCAGAGGGCAAAGAGCAGAGCAGGGCAGGCCAGCCAGGCCAAGGAGCGGGGGCAAGGGGCAAAAAGCCAAAAGCAGTGCAGCAACCCTGGAACGACGTTAAGAACGAAAAGTTCAAAACAAAAAAAAGAACCCCAAGCCCTAAACGCTAGTGGGAACCGTTCGGGCGCCTGGGAATCGACTCCAAGCTCCGCCCTCACCGAGTGAGCCGGAGTGCCGGAAGCCTTGTCGGATCTCTGGGAAGCTTTAAGGGGGCCGTACTTAGTACACTTCGCGATTTGTGCGTAAGGATTTCGGGGGGTTTGGAGGTTACAGGGATGGGGGGGGCTGTGGGGTTCAGGGCTTTTGGGGTTTAGGGTGAGGGGCTCCGCGCAGAAACATAGAAGACCAGAAGCTAGGCAGAAAGCTAACCTGGAAGTATGGAAAAACTCGTTAACGGCATCCCTTGTAACCCCTACATAATCATCGTATCAATCCCCTTCTCTCTCTCTCTCTCTCTCTCTGACGGACTGCGTCACCTGTCAGCCGCGCATCAACCCCTTAGAATTTAGAACCCCCTTATATTTTCACAGTCTCAAAAACGATTACGGCCCATTGGTAGCCCCAAAGAGCTGCCTTGTTGTGAAAGCTGACGTCTCCCCGAGGCTGCAACCACGCCTTTCCGCTCCAACAAGTTCTTCCATCTTGTGAGTTTAGGGTTTAGGGTTTATAGGGTTTACACTCTCACAACTCGGAGAAGCCAGGCGAGGATCCATGTGTGCGCAGTCGGAGTGAAAACGGGACATCTCGTTTAGGGTTTTGGGTGATACTTCGAGGGCTGGGGGTGCAGCATTTCTGTGCACACACATTTAACGGTTTGGATTGGGTTTTGAGTTCTGAGTCTCTATGAGTCTCTATATGGGCCGAGTACGGCGACGATGCCCACTGCTTCTTCCTGTGACTAAAAACCTGTTGATCACTACCATCTACGGCAGCTGACTACCAGAAAACAAGACGAAGCACAACAATCCAGGGGTTATGATAATTCGAACAGGAGCACACTCTTATTAGAAGAATGAGCACACCCCGAGAAGCTCCAACAGGCATGATGCCTGTTGAACCCTAAACCCTAAACCCTAAACCCTAAACCCCAAACCCTGAACCGCTGGACAGCCTGGCGGCTCCTGAGGAAGGCCGTGACAAGGATACTCGCACGAGCTCTGCACCCCTCCACTCTTTGACCGTTAGACGCACGGGGAAACATCCTGGAATCCCACGGCCCTCAAGGTTTAGGGTGCGGGGTTCAGGGATTTTGGGGGTGTGGAAAACATTAGGATGCATGGCTTAGGTTTCTTTCTTCCGTAGGGTTCAGGCGTGTTTGGGATGTGGGGTTTAGCACTTTTACTCGTTGTTCCAACCCCTTTACCCTTTTTTCAAATCTGGACTTGTGCAATCGCCAGAGACTGTCAACCCAGGGAGCATAGCCCCTTTACCCTAAACCCTAAACTAAGCAGACTAACGAGGCCACGGTGCCGGGGAGAAGTCGCCACGCTCGGCGGGAGTGTCTCGAGCCTTCTGAGGCGAGCGCTTGGAGGGCGAAGCAAAAGGTACGGCGTCCTGTCCCCAGGATGAGGCGAAGGTTTAGGGTTCGGGGGGTTTAGGGTTTAGGGCTTAGGATTTAGAGTTAAATAAGGGCCTTACTGTAATAATACCCTATACAAGTTGGTGGAGAGGGTTTGGATCTTGGGCACGGCGGCGATTCAGTTTCGAATGTGGGTTTCTGTGGGCTTCAGTGTTTGTTGGGAATTTGAGAATACAACGCAGGGCTACCGGAATGAGAAGCCGTAGTCCAAATGCGACATGTTACGTACCGCAGTGACCGAACATCACTGTTCCAAGCCACAACAAACTGCACGAGTGTGTTCGAGAATGCTGACTCTGAGGTTCTGATTACACTGCAAGGCCGTTCCGGTTCCGTTTGGGGCCCATCAGCCCCAGACAAGTTTTGCCACCCCCAACAGCGTGGTAGTGTGCCACGGTTCATTGAATCCTTGCCACCCGCATACCTAAACAGAGTCTCACTGCAGGGAACAAGGATTCTTGAGTGATTTAGTGATGTAGGGACTGTAATAGTTCGAAAAGGGCTGTTGAGGGCCACCATACTCCAACAATCGTGAGAAAAATCTCAGAAACAATCTTTCTGCTTGCTCCGGCGTCTATAGTATTAATCAGGATTTCAGGTTCAAGTTCCATCCCCACAGATGACCCTAGCCGAGAAAATGAGCTGCACATCAGCGACGTATAAGAGCCTGAAGCTATAAACCCATTAAGAATATCAATGACTGTGCCTGATCCTCCTCCGGACCACAAAGGTCCATCTGCAGCGTGGGCGGCCGGGGTGCGTTCCTGGGTTCTCGACAGAAGGAGCATACATCTCAGATACCTGACACGGGATGTGTAATATTTGTTATATATAAATATGAATATATATATATATATTATCCACTGTAAACCAAATCCTCTCCTTACGATGATTGCTCAATCTACGGGCTCAACACCCTACAGGGACATCTACAGAAGATACGAAGTTCCCCTATTCTGGTGTATTAAAAGAACATTCCTGAAGCCGAGATTCTTCTTCCTTCGCGGCCGCGCTGAAGCAACCTTCAGCTCGCTTTTCTCAGGATCTTAAGGGCTTAGGCTTGAGAGTCAGGGTTGAGGTTTACGCTCTCGCCACTCGATTTAGGCCAAGCAGGTTTGGAGGGCATGAGGGCGTGGTGATGGGGTATGATGAAGAGGCATGCCCCAAGAAGCACTTCGTCGTCATGCATTGCAGCGTCTCGTTGCTTGCTAAGCTTCTAGCACGACAGCCGGAACCCTTTCCACAAATCTTGCGTTTCGCCTGCATGCAAGCCTGTGTCGAAAATTGAAACGATGTTCAATTAAGCTCATCGTCGGCTGCAGTTTCCTGTCAGCCATGCCAACAGTTGCGAGAAAATGAATGTGTTGAATGAACACATGTATGGGTTTTTGGCGTCCAAAGCCACCATTTTTGAGGCACACGAGTGCAGTCCTAACCCCCCTCCGACAAACAAGTCTTCCGTTCTCGCCCCAAGTCTGCACACAAACGGAGCAACACGACCAAAAAAAAGCTCAGGCGTTAAGCCGTGAGGTCTTTTCTCTTCACGTCGGCTTCCTCAACGCGCCTTTTCCGGTGAGGCATCCGATGTAAAGCGTCAGTCTGGGGCTTACTCGACATGCTATCGCCAAGCCCTCCATCTTCACATCCACGATCATCTGAACTGGGATCCGTGCATATCAGTTCATCCCCTTTCCTTGCTACCGGAGTCAAGTCACGACCTGCCATCATCTTTTGTCATTTTCATTTGGGGGTTTCCGAAAAAAGGGGACCCTAAAACAGTACCCCAGAGAGCAGGATCCTTATCATCAGGACCCCCAAAGCAAGGTACTGCCCCTCATTGTTGGAAAGCTCCCCATGTTATCCCCTGAACCCGAAACCTCTAATCTCATGGTGGAGGCCTTAACCTGGGAGCTGCCCAAAGCCGGAGGACTTCAAGATCCGAAAGCAAAAACACAAACACACCGAAACGGTCGAGACTGCGAGGAAGCCCTAGAAGGGCCCCTATAGAAAGTATATCATAGGCAATGTATGCTATATACTAAACTAAACAAGTTTTAAAGCATACTACACAACAGATAACATCCAATATAAATAAACTATATTATCATATACACTATAGCTTTACAACCCTTCAAGCCAAATTCTGATCCCTCCCAAACTGCTGGGAACCTGAGCCGATCTCAGCTCGTCAGAGGCCAGGGAGTGTGGATGGTCGACTGGCGGTTCTGGGCTCGTCTGCGTCAAATGCGCCTGCGGTGAAATAGGGTAGCAACCCAGCTGACAAAGGTTTAGGAGATTAGGACAGGATTTGGGGTTTGTGGTTAGAGCCGGGTTTTGGGGCATATTGTAGTATCGCGAAGATACTGTGCCCTAAGGAAGAGTCTGCTCATTATTCAAGCCTCCATGTTACAGCCATCCTGTATCTTGCTCTCCTCGTAAGCTTTTATCTTCATCGCCCCTTTTCCGTCTTCACGTGTGCCTACGAAAAGGACCAGTCGAGGTTCCGGGTTTCGGCCTAAACGCTTAAGGGATTGGCGCGCTCACACGGCATGTGGTCTAGAGTCGGCTGAGTGAAAGGTTCCCAAATAAGTTGAGGGAACAACAAGGTCCCACCTAACACTTGAGGGATTTAAAAGGTTTTGCAGCCTTCTTGGCTGTTCTCCATCTTCATTCGGGGGTTTGCTTTTGCGGGTTAGCTTGGCTGTAGCCACATCTTGGAGGGATTTCGGACTGTCTTATTTCAGGCCGCGCAACATTTCGGATTTCGTCGCGCCTGGGGATGAAAACTGCTCTTCGGTATCTTGCTAATTGTATGTCTGCTTCCCGTGTCCTTTGCAAACTGAAAGCCTAACCCCAAGCCCTGAACCGTCAGACCCTGAAACAAGAGCCCTCCAACAACTAAAGTTTTGAAGGTGATATCACTATGAGGGGGAGGGTTTCAATAGTTTGGAACTCTCCCAGAAAGCCTTGTGAGAGCAGCCCTTGTAGTAATCTTTGTAGAAGGTCTCCTGAAACCCTACGCTGGGCGATTCGCCTCCGTCTCCGAGACGGCGGGCAGCGTAGGCCGGCGTTGGGGGGACCGGGTCGGGCTGCCCGCATTGCTTGGGGAGCTCAACGCTAGGAATACCTGTGGAGCAAAGGGCCCAGTGGCCCAGTGACGGAGTTCTTGGGGGAGTCTAGTCTAATGTCAGGTAAGGAGTTGAAGGGATATCGCCACTCGGGTTGCATCGGGTGTAGGATTTTGAATTTGGAGCTCTGAGGCTGTAACTCCATCTCGCATGCTGGGTCGCAGGTAGCTCTGCTGGTTGATCAGGTTGACAGCCAGAATAATAAGACTGGGATTGAGTCGGGGATGTAGGCCTAGGGATTCAACAGATAGGCGGAAAAGAAAAGCCTAAACATCAGAATTACGGAAAGGACTTTTCCACAGGACTGCTGCCACTACGAAGCCTCACCAGCTTTTTTGGGGATGTCAGTCTAACCTCAGGATACCCTCGGGACGCTAAAAACGAAGTGCAGGCCAGGACGCTGTTTCACCAGACTCTGCTGCGCCTGAGCCATAGCCGGCGGAATGCGCCGGGGACTGCAGGACAGCGCTGATGGAGGAAATTGACCTCGGTTTTGGTTTCAGGTTTGTGGCCAGTGCGGGGTGTGGGATCAACCTGTCGGGTTTAGCAAGCCTTCACCGTTTCTCGATGTTTGCCAGGCAGTGTTTTGACTTGAATGCCCGGCTGCGTGGTGCAGAAACTCGCAATCCAGAATGTAAACACCCCCCTACCTTGAAGGAAAGAGTGCTCAGTAATCGTGGAGTCAGGGGTCTAATACAGGGGCCTTAATAATAAGAATAGGGTTTTGGGGCCCATTATAGGAACCCAAAATAACCCAGAATAATATAGGTAACTAGTAAGGCCCCTATATTACACTACTGTGCGTCCTCGGGACAGCGTGGAAGGCGATGGCAGGGGTGACATTCTCACCGGCTGCGAAGCCACAGAGGAAACAGAGCAGGGCGACGCCAAAGGTGCCATCTGGGTGGTCCTGGCAGAGTTAGCGTACCTAAACTTACTAACTAATCAGAGGACGAAGCAAGAATGAGAATGACAATCATGAACAGCAGTAACAGTGATAACAATCGTACCAAGAACAAGGATAATAATGACAATCATGATTTCATGAGGAGCAGAGATACGGCCTGTGCGTAACTTCCTAACCGGCCCTCCGCAAAGCGTCCTGGAGCCAGTGGAAGTTGGAGAGGGAATCGCAGACCCCACGCTGGCCGTGGATGCTGTATCAAAGTCAGATGTGAGTTCGCGCGTGTTCTGCCGGGAGTTTGCCACGCATACAGTGACGTCCTGTTGTTCCTGGGCAGGTGCTGCTGGCGCGACGCGCTGCTTGTATTGCTTCTCCTTGCTCGTCAGCACGTAACTATCGAACTCAGCCAGGGCATCTGCTTTCTTCACTGCCGTCGACTTCCGGCTTGTCAACAGGAAGCAGCCGAAGGAGATGCAGGTGCAAAGGATGCAGGCCGTCAGTACGCCCACCAGCGTCATGCTTGCGGATGCCACCTGGACGCTGGAGTCCCCCATGCCCTGGTCTAGCAGCGAGAGTTGCGACACCTCACGCGGCTGAGCGGTGCAGCAACGTCTATGCTTCTAGCCCAAGACACGTTGAACTCTTAGAAGGCTTCAATTTGACACCCTGAACTTGGCTTTTTTCTATCGTTTCCCCACCTGGCTGGAGATGCAACGGCAAGACCGATCCCCTGAGGGTCGAGGCAGCTTGCACTCATCGGCTTCCGGGACGCTGCCCGAGGATAAGCAAGAGACGCCCCGATACTGCTTGCCCATGCCGGTGGCATTGCACTGCTCGGTCGCGTTGTCTGTCACCTGATCTCCAGCCGTCACTCCTACGTACCGAGCCAGCATGCAGGGCACTCACTGATTTCCGGAAGTCTGGTGTCTCTTACTTCTGCACGAGGCTTTAAGTCTTGCAGCCGCGAGCCCCGATTCCGAAATTGAGCTAGATCGCCTCGGAAGGTGGCAAAGAGAAGCATGGTGACCAGCTTCCAATGGTCCTCGGACACATTCAGAGCCGAGGAAGCTCCACTTCCCGGCATTAAGTTCCCCAAGGCGGCCGTGCAGCTGAATATCTGATTAAATCCCCGTGCGTTTTTTTTTGCGTTATAGAGGTTAAACCGGAGCAGAGATGGGTCCCCCTTGAGGATCTTCTAGCAATTTTACCAACCGGACAGCCCTTATTATGGGTTTCGACTCTCACTCTCGCGCACGCAGGCAAGGCTCCTCAAGCCATAATGGGTTCGGGGTGTTTTCGGGGTGTTGTATGTTACTATATTTATAGCAAGGAACCCCCCAAACTAGTATTGGCAATTATGTAGGCCCCTATACTGAACGAACAAATAAGACCCACCAACGCAGGGAAAGCATCCAGCCACACTCAGGCGGGATGAGGTTAGCTGGGCACGGCTCCTCCATCCTGTCAGGGAGCTTGAACCCTAAACCCTAAACCCTAAACCCTAAACCGCTTGGCTTAGAGGATCTTAGAGGCAGCAGGGTTTGGGGCTTAGGGTTTGCAT